TTGCAAAATTTTCTTTTAAAAAAAGGAAAAGATTTTTGAGTTTTTTGGAAAATTTTTTTAAAAAAAAAAAAAAAAAAAAAAAAAACCAGCATTTTATTTCGATTTTAAGATTAAAAAATCTAAATTTAAAAGAGAATGGATATATTTTTTAAAAGCACATTGATTCAGGAAAACAAAAATAAAACATATTTGTGGTACTTTTAGTGTCATCCTTTGTAAAAATTCAGTGCAAACATTACAGGAAAACTTTAAAAAACAATTGAAAACCTGCATTCATTATTATATTTTTCCAATAGCCTAACATTTCCTTTTTCTGTGTAACATTTTGTGTTGCGTTTGTTGCTGCTTCTTGGCCAGGACTCCCTTTAAAAAGAGGTTTTTAATCTCAGTGTGTTTTTATTCTGGTAAAACATACATAACACAGAAATAAAAACATTTGAAAACAGGAACTGGTTCCTTTTTCAACCAGAGTTATGAAGAGCCATTCTGCCGCAGGCTGCAGACCCCTGTTAAAGGCGATCTTTGATATTTTACTTTTTCTATTTTTAAATATATTTTTGTCATTTTAGCTGCCTTTGCTGTTCCTGACCGTTTCCTATTTTGTGTCCAGTTAGTCTCAGTTGGATGACCTTTCACCCTTGCACCGCCTGCTTTAACCTAATATCCATCTGGGTGCTCAGCTGTGTTTTTGTCAGTGAGTGCTTGTCGTGATTCCTTCATCTGAAAGCATTTTGAAATTCATTCCCAGACTTTAGACTTCTGAAGATTTCTCCGCACACTTTGGTTAAACTTCCTCACACGTGCTTCTGGACTTGACTGTTGACCTGCAGCCGCGACTCGCTCCATACCCGACCCGAGTCCGCACGGCCGAGCGTCAGAGGCCGGCTGTTTGTTTGAAATGTTTCCGTGTGCGGTTTTGTAATCCGTCCGGATGGATCTGAGTATCTACTGCTCCAGAATCATCGCCTCTTGGAAGGCTTCGATCCATCTAGACGTAAAAACACAAAAAGACTAGTTTTAAATTGACTGACACTTTCTTTGAATCTGTGTCTGACGGACGGCTGGGTTTATTTGGGCACCTCTGCGCTGTGGGAATGTCGTCAGCCTTGAAGATGTAGAACAGCGTGTTTTTGTGATACAGCTTGAACTGCAGCTTCTGAGCCGGCCCGTTCTTCTCCTCCCTCAGGAAGAATCCCAGCAGCGGTTGGCTCTCCAGCGCCGCCACGTCCTGCACCAAAACACACCGGGACCAGTTTAGAGGGAGCTGAGCCGAGACGAGCCACGGCCGGGAGAACACCAGCGGGTTACCTCGCTAGCAGCGTAGGTGTACAGAACTTTGTTCTTTATGACGAACCACAGCCTCTTCCACTGCTTCTTGTTGCCTTTGGATCGGTGCAAGTAGCCGCTCATGGAGGAGTTTTCTGTGTTGGCGGACACCTGGTTGCCATGGAGATAAGTCAGACGCTAGGGCATTGAATACACCGACAGAGAACACGCTACGTTTGTTTAGGTGTTGTACCTCCTTTAGTGCAGCTGGAATCTTCTTCTGTTTTCTAGTGAAGGAAAACGCTCCAGATTTAATGGGAGATGTTGATGACGAAGCACAGCGGTCGCCTAAAATGGATTACATTAGATGATAAAGTTAATTATTAATCTTTAAAAACTTTAGATTTAATTTTTAGATTTATACTGATGTATTTATTTTTTTTACTTTCTCAGAATTAATTTTTTTTTTGCCAGATGGAGCATAAACAGCTTCTGATTTAGAGAAAAAAAAAGTCTGAATTCTGAGAAAAACAAACCAGAATTCTTTATTTTTGGAAGCGGCTCTAATCCTCTTCCGTACGCTTAATAGTAGCCAATAATGTGAACAATCTATTTTATAGTCCAAATTTGACATTTTGACCACTATTTTCATCTCTATTTTAATTTATATGGCATCATAAAGATGTCATATGAAGGTAACTTATTGACTGCATGCATCTACTCTGCATAACCACATAATAAACCCCCTCTAGTTGCTGATGGTTGTGGAAAAACTCACTGTTTTCTTGAAGCTTGGCGAAGCAGTGGTCACACACGCGAGCCGGTTGGTTCTTCAAGTACTCCAGATAGTACTTATTGGTGGAGCAGGCCTGACACACCACCTGGTGGAGAGATAAGGAAGAGAGCATTAGGGCTTGGTTGCTACGTTAAAAGGTTGATCCTAAATGTGGCGCAGACCTTTCCACAGGCCCGGCAGTGATGCCTCCTCCAGGTGAGAGTGAACTCGCAGGTGCAGATCATGCACATGGTGGCTCTCAGGTCTGGGATCCAGATTGGAGCTTTTGAGCCTAACGGGGCGCCGCTGTCGACGACACATTCTGCCTGCATGGACAGACACTGAGCAAATATTACATAGATAAACCAGTATCAAAAAAGCTAATTTTTTGGCACCCGTTGCTGGTGGACTTTTTTTAGCCATACTTTTTTCTTCCACTAAACTTTCCACTTAAATTCTCAGTGAAATATCATTAAGAAAAAAAAAATAAAATCACCCAAAAAGTACCTACTCAACATCTCAACATTAAACTAATCATGAACTATTCTAATTAAGCAAATAATAAATAATTTTTGTGCGAATGGAACAGTAGATTCAACACCTTTAAATGTTTTTTCCTCGTTAAATGAAAAGACATCCACTTTGTTTATTATTTTGGGCTTGATTGAAGAAACGGAAATAAATGTTTTTATTTGTTCTCGGAAGTAAAATCAGGATCTTAGGTCAGTTTTCACTTGAAAACACTTTCTATGTTCAGCCAAGTTTTAATGCAGCAATTAAAAGCATATTTAGATGCAACAAGGTGTATTTTAGAGCATCAGTCAATGAGTAGGTGTGGTCCTAGTTACCATGGCAACCCTGAAAGCTTGGAAAAGATGATTACTTTGTGTTGCAGCTAACATTTTTGTAAGTAGGTTTTAATTTAAAAGTTGAAGTTTTGCTCTAATTGGTTCTTGAATTGTAGTTAGGAGGGCCACAAAAAAAATCAATCTAGGGGCCACAAATGGCCCCACTCTGAACACCCACTGCAAAAACACAAAATACTACCAAGTATTTTCAGCCTAGTTTCTAATGCAAATATCTTAGTGCACTTGAAATAATACACAGCCGTCATATATCAACGTTTCCTGAGATGCCCACACAAATTTATCGTCACCTCTTCCTGACTGCGGCTGGATATGAAGGTTATTTTCTTCTTCGTGTAATCTTCGATGGCCTTCCCGATGGCCTCCAGCCACTCGTCTCTCTCTTTAGCGGAGCTGCAAACACAAAGCGAATCAGAGCTCAGAGTCACAGCGGACGCTCGGCGGTGGCAACGTCGCTCTGAGGCTGAGCGCCGACCTGGCAGACAGGATGAAGGAGCGCTCAATGCTTTCGATGTTCAGCTCGTTCTGATAGGCCTCCTGGCTCGGCTTGCTGACCTGGAAACACAGAAAAAATAAAAATCAGCAAAGATGTCGAGATTTTGTTGACTTACGATGGCCATAATTAACCAACCTTTGGGTTTATAAACAGATGAGAATAATGTTTGCCATTAAAAAACAGAAAAATAATCAAAAACTATAATCATAACTGTCTCTCAAACCTTCATTCCAGCCAGCGACAGAACACTGTTGAGTTTATACTGGGCAGACTGGACCGGAGTGGTGTACATGAGTGCATCATTAAACTGGAAAATTAAAAGAAACAATTCAGAAATAAGTTATGTTAAAAAAATAAACCTAATATGACACATAACCTCTTTTTTAAGGATGCGTCTTCAACTGTTTTCAATCTAAACGGGTCACAAATGTGTCATTAATTAAATAAAAATAGAAATAAATCAATATTTTATCTATTAGTTCCTTTCCCCAAGGTAAAATTCAAACTCTTTTTACACATTTTCTAGGTAATTTTTCAAACTTTTCCAGCAGTACACTTTGGAGATTAAAAACAATATAAATGAACTAAAAGTATGTATAAAATATAAGACGATCTTTATTCCAGAAATAAGTCATTGAGAAATTAGGAATAATAAATATTCAATACATTGAAACAATCAAAAGAAATTGTGTTAAAGTAAATGACCTTTCTGTTAAAATATACACAAAAGTCACAAAATAATGTCTTAAAAATGTTCTCACTACGTTTTCTTGCATTTAGCAGATTAGATTAATTTTACCAATTCTAATTAATCTAAAACAAGATAAATTTAATCTGACTTAACTTCAGGCAGTGAGAAAAAAATGTGTATGTGTTTTTTTTAGGTGTATGAAAATACCTGGCTGTAAATGTAAGTAGCACTTTCCAGATTATGAAAAGTTTGATTTCACTTTCAAAAACTTGATACAAAAATCCCGAGTCAAACTTAAAGAATGACTTGATGCTTTAACCATTTAGATTACAGAATGCTGCAGCAGAAATCTCGTTGCTCACCAGAAAAAACATTCTCGGCTGCATGACTTTCCTGGACAGCTTCATGAGCGTCCCCTCCTTCAGGAACACCTGGACACGGAGGACATGTTCATGTGTTGTTTGGCTTCAGCCTGAACCTGTGACAGGTTCTCCAGGACTGTTTGGGTTCTGGACCTACCCTGCCTGGCTGGACGATCTCATGCTGGCCGTTGAGGCTGTACTGAATCTGCATCAGCTTCTGAAAATTATCCTGCAGCACAGAGGAGAAGAGACGAGGTGTGATGCTGCTAAACAGACGCCGTTTAGTGGGAATAAAAGTCTCACCCCTTGTTTCATGATGTCATTCGCATGATTGGCTACTTCCTTCACGACGCTGAGCGCGGCTGCATGGAGAGGAAATATAAAACATCAGTGAAAGGCGTGTTTTCAGTCTCAATGCTAGAGGTGAACACAGATTTTCATCTCACTTTGTGTGTCTTTATAGTCCTCAGAGTCTTCAGGGAGGTTCTTCAGATAATCTGCAAGAGTAAAAACAGGTTTGAATACAGATTATTTTACAGCAAAACTCTGAGGTTGAAGTTCAGTTATTTACTTACTTTGTTCATTTTTTGTTAAATTGTTTTTACTAAAGAGTCATTTTTTATTCTGTCATAATTTATGTTATCAAATTCTTCTCTTTAAGTGAAAGACTCAAAAAATTATATTTACCTAAATATGGACTTAATCACTTTTTATTTTTTTTCTCTGTTGTATGTAATTTTTATAGAGCACTTTACAAGTATATCTCAATGAATGAAACATGTATTTAGTCTAACTTTGTCCTATATTATTCATTTATTTTTATCATTTTGTGAACTTTTTAGACAAGTTTGTTTATTTAATTTAAAATTTTTACGTTTTATTCCATTTTAAACATTATTTTTATCTTGCTTTAAACCTTGGTAATCATTTCCTCTTCCTCTTTTTTAAGTCTTTTAGTCAACTAAATAAATATAGTTGATTTTGAGATGGCTAAACTTCTCTATACCATAAAAGTACTAAATATCTTAGTTATCTGAATTTTGTTCTTGGTCCTATGGTAGAATTTTTTTTGCCACTGACAATAAATCTAAACTAAGCTATTCATCTTGTCCCTATTCAAGAATGTTACAATAGTTTAAATAAAAAGTCTTTGCATGTTTCAATCTCAAGATATCCCTCGTCAAGATTGTTGCAGGATAGATTTTTGCAAATGTCCACAAGGTGGCAATATGCCACAGAAATATCCACTGCTGCAGCCAGGACCATAAATGCTGGTTTCACTGCAAGCTTCATTCTCGTGCTGCCAATAAAGCGTTGCCATGATCTAATAAACTGGTGACCTAAAGTGTTCAGAGGGAGAGGATGGAGAGGGGTCTGTACCTGTGAGCAGCAGCTGGTACTGAGGGATCCTCTGCACTGGTTTCAGAAGATAATGTTTCAGAGCCAGGCTGGCGCATCGCGGACTCATCTGAGACAAAAAACAAAACAAAAAACGCAGAGCAATTCAAGGCTGCAGCCGTCAACACAAACACAACAAACCTTACAAATTATTTAAACTTGTGTTGCTGTGGATGTAGCAACAGCACCAGACACTATATTTGCACTGGAAGCCAGAGGCAGGACTTTTAACCATTAACTAGGCCTTAAAATGAATTCATCTTTTATTGCTGCAGCATGATCTCACACAGGAAAATATATGTTAAAAAATGTTAACCAACTTAGCTTTGGAGCAATTCTGCTGCTTACTTTGTAAAATAAAATAAAAAAAAACATTTTTCCAAAAGGAAAATTCATCTTCTATGGCATTTTACAAGTTTGTAGCATAAAGGTGGAAGGATATTCCAGAAAAAGATCAATAACATCAATACTGTAGAGAATTTGAAACAGTACAACATGAAATTACAGTATGTCTAATATATGAGACAGAAAGAAGGTTAATGTTGGAGGAATAAAAACAATCAAAAACCTTTTAACTTATTTAATATATTACAGGGAAAATCACTAAGTAAAATATTCAATACTTTTAGAAAAAAGTTGATTAAAAAATATAATAATCAATACTACGTGTATAAAAAAAATAGACATTTTGAGCCACACTCCGTGCCAGCAGGTGGCGGTAAAGCTTACTAAACTCTTCTTGTAAACCACCAATAAAAAACAAAAAGAAGAAGTTCATTCGTCTTCTCCTGATAATATCTAGGTTAGTTCTACATAAATGTACAAGCTTCACCCAGCAAAGTGGCGATAAATTTGCATTGACACAATAGATGAAAAAAACCTACCTAGCTAGCTAGCTAGTTAGCGGTAGCTTCAACCACCTCGAGTCACAACGCAGTGAAGATGTGCAACTCTGCAGGGACTGAAATGGGAATTGAGGAAAGCTGCTTTTTTCTGGTTAACCATTTCTGTGTAATCTGGCTTTCTGTTTTAGATTATTATCATAGTGATTACCATATTTTCTAACAGATATATAACCCTAACCCTACAGTTAAAGGTAAAATCCTTAGAAGAGATTATACCACTGCAATCCAAAGAGAAAAGACGTGAAATAAGAGCCCAAATCTACCTCAAATTCCCGGACAACAGCTGCGAATGCAGGGTTCTTCCTGCACTGCTCATCCAGCAGAGCTACATTGTTGTCAAACTGGCGGATGTAGGTGGAATACATCTTCAGATAGGGACCTTTCTGGACAAAAATGTCCGACAATCTCTGGTGGTCGCTCCTGTTAAGAAACACAAAGAGGCTGTAATGAATCAAACGGGTGAAAGCTAGTTTCACTTTCCAATAATAACACTGATTCTGCATGTATCTAACATATACTAAACTAAAATATACAGAAAATAGTAAACAGTGATGTAAAAAACGTCTTGTGCATATCAGAGGTGGGTAGAGTCCTCAAAAATTGTACTCAAGTAAAAGTAGAAAGTAGCAATCCAAGAAATTATTCAAGTAAGAGTAAAAAATTATTTGGTAAAAAGTCTACTCAAGTACTGAGTAACTAATCAAAACATAAGTCATTTAATATTTAAAAACTACATCATCACATGGATAAAAATATAAAGTTTTGTGTAAATTTTGGTATTTTAAAGACTTAAATTTAAATAATTTATATAAATAGCAAAATTACAAGATAAGTAAAGTGAAACATCTTTCCAAATCAATTTCTTTCAAAATAAAATGTATAAAACTAACGAAAATTTAAATGCCAGGTGTGTGTCTGTTCTGGTGTGGGTAGAGAATCAAGAACGCTCACTACTCTTACTACAGCAAAAGTAAAGCATTGTGAAAATACTCCTAAAAGTACGAGGGATTTTTAAAAAATGTAATTAAGTACATGTGACTAGCTACAACTTAACTGATTAATTTAATATAGTTAGAAGACAGTAGTTGTAATTTTGCATGTATGGATTAACTACAGGACTTAAATCTTATGAAACTTTCACAAAAACTGCAGGTGTGTCTGATCAATTTGGTTAAAAAAGCTTGTTCTTGTTCAGTGAAGTTACTCAAACTAGGTAAAATATCCAGAAATTTACTCAAGAGTAGCAATACTTCATAATAAAGTTACTAAGGTAAAAAAAAATTTCAAAATGTTACTCCAGTAAATGTAACTAGTTGCTACCAAAAAATGGTGAATACTAAAAACTGACTTCAAATGAATGCAAAAATAAACTTATAAAGGGTCAAAAATGTTTTTTAGGAGCTGCTCTCTCACTAAAATCCAACTTTCTGTCTGTTAATTGGGATTTACTGCTAAATCCCAGTGTAATTTGAGTGTTCAGAGTGGAAGCGCACCAGTGTGCCACCCTGTCCTCCAGCTCTCGCAGCAGGTCTTTGTTCAGCTGGTACAGCTGCGGCAGATAGTACAGAATCTGACTCAGGATCCGCTCGTCCACCACCGGCTTCCCGTTCTGACGCGTTGCCTTAGCAACAGCATCCCGAAAGTCCTGAAGAGACAGACCGGGTCAAATCAGAGACATTAACACACCCAGGACTTGTGCTGCAGCTGAACAGGAACATAACCCCCTTCCACCTCCCTCACATAATTTTATGGCTCAGTCAAGTCCGCGTTTTGAGTTTGCCCGGCGAACCGACGCACACATGCACCTGGAAGGAAGGGAAGGGAACCCGAGCACGAACCCGACGTCCGCTCTACTGAGCCTGCCAGCTCACAAAGTAAACAAACCCAAATCAAAACAGGGTCTAACAGATTCGGAAACATAAGCACGTAGCACAGAGAATTATGACAGGTATGCGTGTGTGGAGGTCACGGCTTGTAGCCGGAGGAAGCAGCTGCTGCAGAGCCAGAAGAATGTGATCTGACCTCTTTTCTTGGACACCGCTAGTCCTTCCCTCTGGAGAGTTTTCTACTAATCGTGCTGCGGTTTTACTAAAGCTACCAGACAGGTGGACTCTCCAGCCACATTGCTAGGAGATGTGTTAGCTTATTTAACTTCTGTCTGTGTCCTTAAATGAACAGAGGCTCACTTTTATCTTTACCTTTTGCTTTATTGCTCAGCTGATATAATTCTTGTGTTTGGGTGATTCTCAAGCCAAATTGCATATATTAAAGGGGATCTGTTATGCAAAATTTATATTCTGCACGTTTTTGTACTTCCATTTGTTTCTAAACACAGCTAAAGTGCTTAAAAAGAAAACACTCAGTTGTTTTTTGGCAATAAGTTAATATTTTTGGTGTTTGGAAAACCTTCCGAAGGCTTTGCCCCGTTACCTAGCAACCCCAGCCTAGCCCAACCTGTTACCTAGCAACCCAAGCAGAGTTCCAGCATGTTTAGTCAGCTGATTTTTCCCACCCAGAAACTGCTTGCTGCATTTTTGTTGGCTGTGCAGGAGGCTCCACTTCTGCTTTTCAAAGATGTACAGTTGTATGATTGCTCATCTGTACCAGTGTAAATGCTGAGTTTGGGGGCGTGGCCAGCAGCAGCTTATTTGGATTTAAAGTGACAGAGGCCCTACAACAGCTCATTCTGAAAGGGGGGCAAAGTAGGAAGAACTGAGCAGAATAAAATTTCATTTTCTAAGAATGATTTAGTGATTTAACAAACATGTTTTAATTAGCCCATTGTTCTATTTAACCTGTTCAAGGAAGCATAATGGTCACCTTTAATATCCCCATTAAAAAAAATGTATTGGTTTGATGCAGAATAAGTAAATTAAACTCTCCGCTTCACCTTAAAGTCTTAAAATCTCAATAAAATTAATATTTTATTTAAGTATTGTATAATTTCAAGTGATACTATGTATACTCAGAAGGGTTAGCAAACAGATTTATGGATGCAGTGGGGACATTTTCTGCATGCTCTTTTGTAAACCAAACATCCTATAGTCAGTTGGTCAATGATCCCTATGAATAAACTAATGTTGCAGCATGAATCTAAACACTGGATGAGAGGTCAGTACATGAATAATCCTGCATTCAGTCCCTTCTCACTGAGATAAAAACATCATTATTTAACAAACCAAGGCTGCTGGGATCAGTAGGCTTTATAGACGTGTAGTTAAAAGTCATCTGCAAAGAAATGTATTATTCACTACTATTACCAATAAGAAGAAAAATGTAAATTAGGGCTAAACAAAATATCGTGACTATATTGGCACTCAAACAGAAATATGTGCAATATTGGTATCAAAGGACAGCTTGGAGAATAATAATCATTAGCTAATATAGTCTAAGTGTTATTAAATTGCATTTTCCATTTTAATGTAGTATTAGCCCAGCTGGACAGAGTCTGCTTCACACAAATGATGGTGCCCAAAATGCTAAATGTCAAAGAGTAATTGTAGCATTGGTGAGAGGAAAGCATTTTTAGAAAGTGATATCATGGAAATAGTTTTGTGCAACCCAAATGTAAATAGAAAACAGAAGGAGGCCAACAACTCATTCCTGAGGTATGCCATAAATTAATGAAGACACTGAATTATTACTAAGGATTGACCGCAGTTATTTAGAGGGAAAAATGTCAAAATTTTCATCTTTTACCAATAACTATATTTGTTCAAGGAGAATAAAGTAATTAGAGTGATGGAAAGCAGCACATAGATCTAAATAATAATTTCTCTGTTTAAACTTGGTCATATTCCAATTTAAACAAGCTTGTACAAATTACAAACTGGAAAAACAAACAAACAAATCCTCAAGAAAGAATTTAGTTTCCTCAAAACCTCAAAGGGCTACCAAATAACATCTAACAAGGTTTCCCCCTGAAAACTTGTTAATCCTGGTGGTTGGGCGCTGGGGCAGTCAGCGGCCCGTTGTGTTTTTGAGTTAGAAAATGTTTAAAGTTGACAGGAAATTTGAAAGTATCACTTGATAATAGTGTTATTGGAAGATTAATATCTGAACACCAACTATAAAGTATTAAAAAATGCAAACATCTAAATAAAAACTACGTATATAAGCAATACTAAGCCTGGTGGGGCACAAGTAAAGCCTGGTGGTCCGCCAGGCTTATAACACACTGGGGGAAACCCTGTCTGACATTAATAAAGAATCTTTTTCTGTGCTCCAGAAAAAAAGTCTTGCCCTAAAGATTCACAACAAATCAATGCAAATCTGTCTTGAAGTGAAGCAGCTCTTTAATGATTAAACTTGACAAAAACAAACAAAACTGCAAATGTTTTCCTTCAATTCATCACCCATACCTTAAGCTAACAATAGATGCTAATGCAAACACCAACATCCACCCATCTTATGGGATATTAATCGTCTCTTTATTGGTTTTCTTTCATTCAAACAAACACACACCCTTTACTTAGTTTCCAGTAAAAGAAAAGTTCAAAGCATCTCTTTCCTCATTGTGGTTTGGTATTCACCTGCCTACCACTGCCCCAGTGAAACCAGTAAAACCCTCAAACACAGCCCACATCAAGAGAAAACACTTTGATCGTCACTCAAACAGTAATCACAGACACTGCTGTTTGTCCTCTGGCTGCTCAAGGAAATGAATAAAAGCAACACTTACTATGTGTAGAAGCTTTAGGACGTCCACAAACCTGGAAAAAAAGTGGAAATAAATTATTTTAGCACACTTTCAGACACAAGCTGCAAGTCCTGCATCGACGAAACACTCACACTTTCTCTGAGCTCATGATTTCCTGGGCAATGTGCACCACCTTCTTCCTCTTCATGTCATCCTCCTGCTGAAAAGCGACAAACAGTAAGATGATCGCTCAGAAAAGGTCAAAACCACACAGCGTTTACTCACAGACTCACTGCAGATCACCATGATCATCTCTGGGTGTTTAAAACCAAAAAATAACGGCCTCCTCTCTCTCTCTTTCTTTCTGCTGCTGGATGGTGACGGGGCGGTCGCTGCGTCACTCGATTTGGACGGCAGCCTTGGCCTATGCCTGCCTGCTCCTATCTGAGGCTGTATTTGTCGAGCATTGAGGGGCTTCAGACACAGGTGTTGACAGCATCATGCAGAGGGTCATTCAGGACGCATAAAGGAAGGGAATAAAAAACTGTTTCACACAGAGAGGGAGCTATTCCTGAACCTGCAGCGCCTTCTGTGTTTGCTCACCATCCCCCTTTCAACACACACTCATCCACTTCTAAAAGGCCGTCACAGGGAGCAAACATGCTTGGCAGCATGCGTGCGCTGAGTGCTAAGTCTCCAGTGCTGATTAGAGATGTTCACTGTGACCTAGAAATGTTGAACAAGAGCTAACGATGAAGGAAGTTGGTTCAGTAGAGGTGGAAATATCGGTAATATCAGTATTGGATCGATACTTTAGCTTCAGATTCTGATTCAACTCAACGCTACCTCCAAAAAGATTTTGTTTTGATTTGCTCTCTTTCATAGTTTTTTGTACTTTATTCAGGAAAAAATGCACACAAATCTGTTCTGCGTTTCTATTGTTTTTGTTTGTCACATTTATCATTTCCCCCCAAGTATGTTGCAAGGGTTTCTTTTGGTTATTGCGAGCTAAAGTTACTTTCAAAATGTTGAGGTCAAAATTGTGATTTTTTTTTTTTATAACCTAATCTTACAAAAAAGTTGAAATTGCTGCACATAACCTTCTCACACTACAAAAACATAAAATCTTATCAATTATTTTTGGTCTAGTTTCTAGTAGGGCTGGGAGATATGAGGAAAATCTAATATCCTGATATATTTTTGCTGTTATGATACACGATATTCTTAAATGAGCTTATTTTAAACTATAGACCCCTTGCAGCATGATGTCACCCACACAAGTTCCAGGCCCCATTTCCCTGCTAGCCTTAAATGTAAGCTCATATAAAAAGTGATGCCGTGTTTTGCTATGAACTGCTATGACTAATAAGGTGAGAAAAATTTTTAACAAAGAAAAAAAATAGCGAGGGAGAGGTAAGTAGGTAAGTTTGCTTGACTTTGACAAACTTAAATAGATGTGCTGTGGAATAAGGTGTGTTTTGGTTCAACTTAAAAATAAAAAAGGCGACCTACACACCAGCTGACAGATTATCTGTAAAGCAGGTGTTTCAATTAATCAGCCACCGCTGTGTTAGCTTGGCTAATAGCAGCAGCAGCTAATCTACCACAGTGATCAATTATTAATAAAAGCAAAATACACATCAAGCCTAAAAACCGAAATCTGTAGCGAACTGAATGTTCTGCTCTATGTGGGGGTAATGTTTGAGTGTTTTTGGTGCCGAATCCTCAAACAATAAAGTTGCGTTGTTGTCAGTTGCTATGGCAACGAGTCTACGTGTATCGTAAAGCCGGCACAAGAGCGAGAAAAAAAGAATGAGTAGTTTTGAGTTATTTTCCCCATTGCATAGCATTAAATGAATCATACCTACGTCTCCAGGTTTCACTTTAACGGACCAGTTCTACCGCGGCAGCGCGGCTATGAACGGCATGTAGCAGAAGAGTCCCAATATGGGGGGGAATAAATCTGCGGTACAACCTTTATATATAATAATTTATATAATAATTTTATAACATGTTTCGCAAATTACCTCATTTTGTTCGACGTCCTCCATATAAAATCCAAACCACTGCCAAATTATTGATCCAGCGCTGTTTCTTTTCGGAACTAGACTAGTTCATCTGATTAGTCTTCAGTTACCGTCTCATTCACGGCTCGCCTCAAACTCTCGCTGTCACCATGTAGTTTGTTTACTCCGCGCAGCTGATTGGTAGAAAAATTTCAGGTTGGGAGGGGGGAGGGACTAGTGATGCATTCATAGGGTGTCGGATAAACCATACTCGCAGTGAATTTTGACGGCGAAAGTTTAATATTTGAACAATTTATTCTCGATAGTTGCGATGTAGCCATTTTAACTATCGTAAATTGAAAATATTCCTGCTGCATCGAGTATACTCAATACATCGCCCAGCCCTAGTTTCTAGTCCAAACATCTTAGTACACTTGAAATAAGACAAAAATAATTTAAAAGTAACTTTCTCGCAGGATAAAGTGGCTTGTTTTAGATAAATAATTTCTTAATATTGATAAGAATTAGATTATTTCTCTTATAACAAAACATTTTCCATGTTATAATTCAATCAATCAATCAATCAATCAATCAATCAATCAAATTTTATTTGTATAGAACATTTCAGCAGCAAGGCATTTCAAGGTGCTTTACATAATTAAAAAACAAAATAAAAACAGCATGTGACATTGAATAAACAGTAAGAAAGAGAAAGAGATTTTGGAAAAATTACTTTTGTTACGTAGCACGGGTATTATCCAGGTCCCGTCGCCTAACAGGACAAGGTCTCCAACCTTGCAGCACCAGGCTCCGTTCACCTATCACACGAATTTTTGCGCTAGGACTTTGCCGTCCTACACGGATTTTTGTGCACTATTTTTACCTGTTAGAGTCTAGAATTTACAGGGTTTTTCTGTGTTAGATGATAAAAACTTGGTTAAATAAGAACTTTGCAATCGCTAAAATATCAGTAAAACCAACGTCTTACATAAGAAAAGAGAAAAAAAACATTAAAAAACATTAAAAAGTGAAATAATCTGCTACCAGAACCAATAATTTTTCATCAATGTTAAGGAATTATTTACTTAAAATAAGCTCCTTTATCTTGCTGAAAAGTTACTTGTAAGTTAGTTTTGCCTTATTTCAAGTGTCATAAGATATTTGCACTAAAAACTAGACCAAAAATACTTCACAAAAAAGATAAGATTTTAGCACAGTTAATATTTAGAGTGTAAATAATATTTTCAATGCAGAAGAAGAATTCAAGTTAACATGAAGTGTTTACACAGTATAAGAAGATCCTACAAAACATCTCAAAATGGTCTTGGCAAAAAAGCCCAGTATTTGCTTGGTATTGGATCAAAATCTAAACATTAAGTATCTCACTCCTGTAGTTTTCAGGTTTCACTGTTTTCCTAATTATTCCACAGGGTTTCTTAAGACTTTTCATAAAGGGCAGATTTGTTAAGAGCTAATTAAAGTTTGTCCTGTCAACAGATTCACACCTGAGAGGTGTGTCTGGATTTTCCCTTGCAAAAAGTTTGTCTTTACATCTTGCACTTCCCTCAAAATGCATTAATATACATTCAATTTTGTGGCCAAAATGTGAAAAAGAATTGCCGATTCCAGGTGTTATTCCCTCATGTTTCCTCCTATCTTATCTAAAAATATAGATAATTGCCGTTAGTCAATGCCACAAGTTGTTTCTACAAAACAAAACAACTGACTGAACCTCCTCCAAGATTAGTGACTCCTTGTTTTTCTGTGTTGTGTAAGTGGCCTCAGCCGCTCTGGATGTTGTAAATCATGCCATATTAGCTAGGGCTGTAGTGATACAATAATCTCACGATACGATACATGATATACGATATTCTGCTCATGATACGATATATATATTGCGATAATCTGCAAAGGATACAATTCAGTAGACTTTTGCGATTTTCTGAAAGATTTTAGAGGGACGGAGTGATTTTGGTGATATTTTGTGACTGTTATAGAGGTGGATTGAATTAATTTAACTGAAAATTGATTAACAGCACCAACTACACAATACCTGGCTCTGGTTGGACATGGACACAGACTTAAAGTCGACAGCTGGACAAAAAGAATCAAAGAAGTGGTGAGAAAACATGTTTCTTTTAATTGAAACAGTACAAACTGTAGCTTACAGGCTTTTGTAAAGTAAATAAAGTGCATCAAGTACCCTGCTCTGCATAGTCTGATACCTTTTTAACCTTGACACTTAACATCTGAAGGAATCACTCTAAGCCTGATGACCTAATCACTCTCCTGGCGAAGCAAGCAGTGAGTGAACAAGGTGACAGTTGGATGATACTTGCGGATGAATATTGATTTTTTTCTAGGAAAGAAAATATCGATATATATATCGCAAAATCGATATTATTACACAGCCCTAGTATTAGCAAATGTTTTGGTTTTAATTTCGTACTTAATTACTTTCTGACTGAGGTGGTCATTAAATCGCTCTGCATCCGAGTAAATTCCAGACAGGATGAAATGAGCGTACCTGTCTGTCTGCCTCATCCAGGTGCTCCTTGCTGGAGGTGGAGCTGTTGTCCTCTTCGTCTGAACTGTGCATCTCGTCCTCCTCAGAGTGGACATCGTCCTTCAGCCAGTCGCTGTTTGGGAAGAGGATGTCAGTGAATGAAAATAATGATTTAGACATGTCCAGTATGTCTTTGCAGAAGAGCGGGTGAGTGCTTGGAAAAAGACTTCCTGGATAATTAAAGATTTCAAGAAAGCTTGTGGAAAGATCAAAATCCCAACCTGAGTCACCTTCCTCTGACACTAAGAAGTCTGACTTATTTTCCAAGGAAAATATTTACTTCACTGCAGGATTCAAAGGCCATAAAACTAACCACTAACCTCCAAAAATAAACCCTTACAACTAGATTTCCAGGGATGAACTGTTCCTTTTTTCACTCCTGATATCGATACCAATATCTGAGGTTTAGTATCAGCTAATACCGATCCAATACAGAAAAATAGCGTTGAATTAACTTAAAACCTTAGGAATTAGCAATTCTAAATATAATGTAAGATAAATAATAAAAAATTACATTTAGAGCACAAAGCACAGAATTAGGCTGAATAGATCAGACACCGATATCCGATGTAGAATTTTTTTTTTTTTTTTCAAAATTGTATTGGCGCATCTCTAAACATTTTCTGAAAAACCCGGATCCCTCCTAGGAATGTAACTGATAACAGTTCAGCTTGTTATCAGTTAAATGCCCTTATGTGGGATTTCTAAGAAGTACAAACTGCTTCAGCTCACATCAGAGCGTCTCAGTGATGGTTTCTCTAAACCAGTATCTTTCTCAGACGGTCCTGGTGGGATTCTCGGCATGTTTTGGGTCATTGTCATGTTGCAGGTTCAGCTCTGCTTCACCTCTAATAGTTTTAACATACAGTCTCAGATTTCATGATGGATTCTATAATGGTGAATTGGCCAGAGCAAAGACTCCCTAATCATGATACTTCCACCGCTGCACCTCAAAGTTACCATCACTCTAAACTGGGCTTTGTTGACATGCACACCTCCCATGAAAGTTAAGTTTGTACTTACTGAATTTATTGACTTTTTCTGCTAAATAAAGACTCAAATACTGCTTTCTAACCAAATGTAATTCTTCCAACTAGGGCTGAAATGATTAACCGGATTAATTGTGATGAATTATTGAAGTAATCTTTAACAGATTTAGTAATTAATTAATTGTTAACTGGAGTATACAGATTAAAAAAAGGTCATTTGCTCCATACTCAGAGCAGTAATTAAGCCAAAATTGTGAAAAATCCAAACATTTTGCATTTAAGATAAAAACAACTTTGTCTTTAATTATATTCTACCCAAAATTCATCACGTCATATTTTTTGCTTCATTTTGTTCAAATTCCTTAAAAAAAGTCACATATTAAGCAATTTTTACTGTCCAATTATTAATGAATTAATCCAAAAAATAATCAACAGATTAGCCATCACTTCTTTGATGTTAAGTCAAGAAGAAATTGTTGATGTTTAGTTGGAGAAGCATCCTTTGCAACAAAGTGTTCACAAAAGGAATGCTGTTATTGCATTTTATTTACAAATAAAAATTTTTGTTTCTTTTTTTTAAAAAGGAATTGAATAATTTTTAATTAGCATCTTTTAATGTTTTCTCGGAATGTGCCAATTTTTAAAACTGATTAATCGTCAGAATAATGTATTAATCTTTAGCTGGATCTTAGTTCCAACTCTAAAGCACGGAGGTGGCTGCATCATTCCTTTAAAGCTGGGTTTGAAATAGAAAAGACAGGGCATACATACTGATGAAAATTTATTACCAAAATACTTAAGCTAGGACATTTATCAACATGACTGAAGGTTTTTAACAGATTATTGTTGGCATAAAGCCTTTATTTTCCGCCAGCTGAGACGTTTAAAGCTGTACTTCTAAAACCTGCTTCTTATCTTGCCACGGGTGACTCAACAGGCCGTCTGCGCCAGCAGAACAAGCAGCAACATGAGTCTGAGCCTCTGATGTTTCCCTCTGGCTTGCCTGCAGAATAAAGCCGCCTGATGCTAACCGGAAAGTTCTCAACAGGAGTAATTTAATTCAGTTGAGGTATAGGTTGGTTGTTAGAGGAAAAAAACAAAAATTATTGCATTTTTCTCTGGATCTTTGTTTTTCTCTTACCTAAAAGCCCAAATTTCTCCCTTTTCGGCCCAGCTCCTTTACCCCTCGCGTTCCCTCTCTCCATTCGGTTTCTCCAGCATTGTGGATCAGGCACAGAGCGCCACTTGTTTACAGCCCGAGGCTACTTACATAAACTCAACGGGCTCGGATGCCTGGGAAACACCACGAATTCACTCGCTGCTTCTGTCTCTGCTTTAACAAACACCAAGATCTGCATTCCAGACTGAATTAAGAAGCAGAGCACATCTTAGACGTTTTCAAGGCTGATTTAAAACCCATGTACAATGGAGCCATCCTGGCTGCATCACTTATACAGAAAGAAAATGTTGCAGATGGTAGATAAACACCAGTCAGGAATTAAGTCTGGACACTGAAACTAGAGGTTTTATGTTAGAAAATAAACCAGAAAATGACATCTGACAGCAAACATCCCAAAAAACTTATTTACATTGTCTTCAGAAAATGAGATCTGGAGTCTGTTGTTTTCCATATAAAATTTCTTTAGGGATCAAACGTACCTTGATCAGACAAACAAATAGTTTCCAATCTTATCTAGAGTTAGCAGTTTAATTATGAGCTGCGAGGGCCATTCGAGGCTATTGCAGCTTTAATTATCTTTACAGCTAAAGATTTGTCATGAAAAGGTTTTATTATCTTGAAACAGTAAGCATTAAAGATGGTTTTGTCAGGATAAAAGTGATATTGAACTTTCATTTCTACTCCCATGATGAGCTCATAAGCTTGTTTAGCCAAAAATAACCAATTAGTTATCTCAAGAAAGTGAAGTCTTAAGATGTTTTTAATCTTTATAGACGCTCTTGAGCTTGTTTTGTATCAATAATAGTCTGGATTAGGGCTGCACAATATCGCTGTACTAGATCCAATTTTAGTAGTTTTTATTTTTGTTTTCATTTCTAAAAAATAAATTACAAATGACAGAAATTATTTTCAAAAACTGGCTTTTATTTCAACCGTCCCTTTTATGCTGTATGATGGAGAATTAGGACCATGATATGAGAATTTTTGTTTAATTACAAGAACATAGTCATCATAAAATTAGCAGAATATAGTTTTACCAGTTTTAAAATTAGGGGAAAAAAAGTTGTTTTAATTTCTTACGTTGTTCTTGCATGAGTTTTCATAAAATTAAGACTTCATTCTCCTAATATTATGACTTTTTCGCTGGTAATATTATAACTTTATTCTCATATGGTTTAAACTTTATTGTAATTTCACTTTAATCTCTTATTACTATAACTTTATTCTCGTAACTTTATGACTTTATTTTTGTTAAAAAGAGAAGATCTTAGCCTGACCCTTCATGCCCAAACAAATAGAAGCTGTAAGACGAACTTGTGAAACAAGATGGCGGCCTTGGGCGTACTGATATTACTGTAAACATTGGTGGGAAAAAAATCCAGATTTTCCAAAACTTCAATCTTCAATGACAGTTCAATTAATTGATAAAAATAGAATATTGTTAAAATTTTTTTTTTTTAATCGGAAGGTTTGTTTTGGGGTGGAGAAAACTTGCAGAAAAAAAAACAGCTTAATATGCCATAAAAAATGATTTAATGTGAAATTTAACTTTCCTTAGCTCTTTTTTCAGCATGAGAACAAACCAGCCAACCATACTGTTCAGGACGGGGGAAAAACAGAGTGTTGAGGTTAAAACGAGGTTAAACGTAGTGCAAGGGCAGCCAGAACGAGGCGGCGGAGGAGGCTGGTGGTTGCTGGAGGTACATTTTCCCTGATTTAGAGAGCCGTGTGGCGATTTCTGCGATTCTCAAACATTTCCTGCTCCAGCCACTGAAAATAACCCACAGGAAAACAGGCCCACTCAGAGCACATCAACGCTCTATTCAAACTCAAAGCCACTGACTCAGACTCAGAGGCCGACATATTTGTCTTCTAGTAAATACAAACCGCTTCTGTCACAACCAGTGAACCTGTCGCCGGTCTCCCACTGAAGGAGCTGGACTTACTCCAGTACTGTTCTTCAGATTATGGGTCCAAACAATTGATCGACTAATGGTATTAGTTTATTAAATAAAAATTAGTTCCAATTGATTAACTTATAACGTCCGTTAGATCTTCTTTTAGTGTTGTAGTTTGACCGCCATACAGCAGAGGGCGCCGCTTGTAATCCTTAAGCAGAGGTATAAACAGAGCGGTTGACGGAGAAAGAAAAATGGCGGCCATACCAGAAAGAGAAACGGTACAGAGTGGGATGCAATATGCACTTTATGTGGTTCTGATTTTTATTTTTTATTTTTTTAAATAACACTCGACAAGCTCCTTAAGTTGTTTTGAAATATAAATACTAGACAAGCTCCTTAATTTATCACATTAACAGCGTTCATTCAGCCGAGCTGCATGACGTAGCAGCGTCAGCTTCTAATTCAAAAATTGCTGAAGTGCTACAAAGACGAGGATAAAGTCAGACAGGCGGAGGAGATAACGCTGAAAAATTGTAACATGGTGTTAAACAAACATGATGCCCATTAGTTAGGTTGATTTTGAGGTCTGTTGTGAGTTAATTCAATTAATGGCACTAAGTTTAAAATTCCTTCAAGAGCAACCACAGACAGTACTTCTGTACGAACATCTCATTGTTCATCAAGTGTTTCACACATTTTATTTTGTTCATCTTTTATTTTTCTATCCAGCAACTTAAGATGTTCCTGTTTTGTTACGTTTCATTAATATATCTAAATTTATGTGATAAAACCTCAATCTTCTGTTTATTCGGCCAGTATTTAATACAGCTGACACAAAATGTCTTTTTTTTTAATTGATCATATCTTGAAAAATTTAGCTCTTTATGGTAAACAAAAAGTTAAATAAACAACATATACCTAATTGTAAAGTGAAGGTTTTTTTCTTTTAA